ATAGATGACATAGTTGTCTTTTTCAGAACAAAGGGCGAATATGCCGTAATAGTCCGGCGAGTCCTTCAGAAACTCAACGAACAAAACTTCAAGATTAATGAGAAGAAAGGTCACTTCGCCATGAGCGAAATATATCTGGGGAATGTATTAAATTCAACCCCGGTAAGGTGGAACACCTGCTATATTGGCGAACACCAACTACAGGAAGAGATGTGAACAGCATGTGTGGGTTTGTAAACTTCTTTTCAGATGGAGTACAACACTTGGCTGATTACCTTAAACCTTTTGGACACTTAAGATGTCATAAAGGCAAACTGGGAGACTTGTGGACTAAAGAGTGTGATGACGCATTTAAATCACTCAAACACGCAGTCCAACAAGCCCTTGTTGTATAAGGACCAGTCGATGGCGTGCCGTTTGAAATAGCAACGGACGCCTCCGACTTAGCCCTAGGAGGAGTATTATAACAGGTTATAGATAACAAACCGAGATATATACAATTCTTTAGTCGAACAATGAATGCTTCACAGTTGAATTATCCAACTGTTAAACAAGAGCTATTAGCCATAGTGGCAGCTCTAACACACTTCCGAGAATACTTATACGTAACAGCATTTACGCTGATATGTGATCAGAAATCTCTTCAATATATGAAAGGAATCAAACCCGACTCACAATTAATGAGTCGCTGGCATGATACAAAATTAAAGTTTCATTTTGATATGAAACATCTGACAGGAATACATAATCATTTACCGGATACGTTATCACGCTTCGTACCGGACTTTAATAAATCCGTACGTGAGTTACTAGCCAATGACTGGAAATGTAACCCCAGGTGGTTTGAACTGGATCAAAAGGTATTTGGGCCAAGTTCGGGTACCTTGATATAGGAAAGTATCTACTTCCCTATCTAAACATATTGGCTCGCATTGTATCATGCTTATTAATTTATTGAGTCATGGTTCTTTACTCTATAATAGGCAACACAACGTGATGGTAACTTTATGTATTGAACATAATTTAATAGCTGAGCAATTAACTGCCATGGTGGATTAGCCCACGCATTATGTTTGGAGAGGTCTACTTGAAAGGCGTCTCTAATAGGATGTATTTTATAAATCTTCTAGGCTATCTATCTAGTTGTGCAGTATGTTGTAGTAATTCGCTAGTTGTGCATTATGATGTGCAGCAAATATATCTATGGTATGTGGCCCATATATCTTTTGAGCCAGTTCAAACCACCTGGGATTACATTTCCAGTCAGTGGCTAGTTGCTCACGTACGGATCTATTAAAGTCCGGTACGAAGCGTGATAACATATCCGGTAAATGGTTATGTATCCCTGGT